GTCCTTCTGTGGTTCATAGACTTTGGAGGTGATTTCAAATCACAGATTCGGCCTCAGGAGGCCAATCTGTGGTTTGAAAGGTTCAGCCAAGGACGGCCAACTGTTACGACGAGCGCTGATGACTGACTCTTATTAGATCCTCCCTTGCTGCAGCCACTGGAAGGTTGGTGTCAACGTCAACTGTGCGTAGAACGCTTCACGAAGGTAGTCTGTATGCGAGACGACCAGCCATTTGCGTGCCGCTCACGTCACGCCATAGGAGGGACCATTTTCAGTAGGCACGACAACATGTCCACTGGACGCTTGACCAGTGGAGGGCTGTTCTTTACGGGTGAGTCCAGATTTAGTCTAGAAAGTGATAGTAGACGTTATTTGATGTGGAGAGAACCTGGAACCCGTTATCATCCGTTAAAGAGATTCATACGGAAGAGGCAGTGTCTGTGTTTGGGGTGGCATCTCTTTGGGTGGACACACAGACCTCCATGTCTTTCCATCGGAAACCGTGAATGCTCCGGTTTATAGAGATGACATCCTTGATGCTTATGTGTGCCCATGTGCCTGGGCAATAGGTGATGCTTTCCTGTTACAGGACAATAACTGAAGACTACACAGGGCTCACATCGTAGATGATTATCTTCAACAGGAAACAATTATGCGCATGGAATGGCCAGCTCGATCCCAGGACTTGAATCCTATCGAGCACGTTTGGGATGCTTTAGAGAGACGTCTAGCTGCTCTCAGTCTGCTCCCTCAGACCCTTGCCGCCCTTGCAACAGCTTTGCAAGAGCAATAGCTCTCACTTCCTATGGAACTTATAGAACGCATAATTGAAAGCATCACGCATCACTGTATGTGCTGCATTGCTTCTAGAGGCGACCATATTCCCTATTGAAGGTACTTTTCCTATAGCAAACTGACACCTTCAATTTGTTCATTTTATACATGTGCTAATTTCTATACTACCATAATTTATTTTTATGCTATTTTATACCTTACTATGTGTTGTATATTGGGTAAATTTCATAAAATTCTACATGTAACTTTTTCAGTAATCGTGATTTTGCTTAATTTATGATAACCAGTGTATTTCTCAAAACCTAATTCATCATTGGAAGAGGATGATACAGACTCAGTTTTAGTGTCTGCAGTTTAACGCTGCTGATTTGAATACTCCAAATGTTCTGAGAATATGAAAGTTCATGGATGGCTTTCTTTGCCTTTTTAATTTGTTCATAATCTACCAAAATTTGGTGTTTTGTATCAACATATGTTGAACTCAGCAAAATCTCATTGTCTAGCAAACTAGTTTCTCTTTTCTTCATTGAGGAAATGATTCCTTCTGCAGTTAAGTCCTCCCATTTCAGAAAGAACAAATGTTACATTCTTCCATTGTCGCAGAAACAAGCCTTCTGTTAATTCTTCAGAATGTAGGGTTTTTTTTTTTTTTTTTTTGCTATATACTGTGTAGAAAAAAAGAGTCCATTTCAGCAAGATTATTCCACAGCCTTTCTGTTAGTGAAACATTAGAGTTATCTACTCTTTCTAAAAAAAGTTCTTAATTCTAACAACCTCTTTATCATCAAATATGTACTTCACCATTGCGTTGCTTGATCAATAATTGCTCCTTTTCCTGCTCACCTCCTAAGAATGGCATCAATTTTGGGAGTTCTTGCTGCTATTACTGCTTGCCTAAATTCAGCAATGAGGTTCCATCAACCCAGCAAAGTGTGAACTGCAAAACGCATTTGCTGGATTTGGCAGAGTTTTGATGCCTCTTCAGCAACATCATCTAAAGCTTCATATGAATATTTTTGAAAAGTTTCAATATCTAAAGCAGCCCTTTTTTTCATGTATTGTAACAATTTCTTCATCTTCATTTATTGTTTTAACCATATTGGATGCATTATCAGTAACTATACATATAATCTGCTCTTTCCTAATTTCAAACTCTTTTGAAACCCCTTCAGTCAATTTATGGAGATAATGGCTATCGTGATGAGCTTTACTATCGTTTACTGCCAGCGTCTTTGTAGCGATCACTCAATCATCATTAATAAATCTAGCATTAATTGCAAAATAGTGCACTTTGTGTCTGGTAGCTGCATCCATCTTTTATGTGTATGAACTTCCCTCTGAGGTCATTTTTCAAATTTTGTTTCTCTCTCATAGTGTCATTGCGAATAAGTTTTTGGACACTTTCCCTGTCTTATGAAATCCCAGGTTTCATTGTTATTTTGCCATTAAGTCCTTGGAATGCAGGGTGCGGAATAGCAGTTCTTGTTTCAATTTGAGGTTCTTGCAGCCATTTGACATTCAGAGATACACAATTTTGTACTACTAAGTTAAGTTTTTTTTTACAGCTCTCAGCAGTTATAGTTATCTTGTCTATAGTGAAAAATCTAATGAGGTAAGCTTATCCACCAGTAGGAGTACAAGGTCCTGATGTCTTTTTTTTCTGTTGCACATGCCTTTTTCTTTTCCACAATTTTATCAAAAATTTGTGGATGTAAGCGTGCTATGTGCCTCAGTAAATTTGAGGTTCTTGTTGGGGCATTCTTGTCAGAACTTCTAAAACTGCCTAACTCCTTTGACTTCCGACTCCATGACTCTTACTCCACAGCCTTGGCCTGAACTCTGTGATGGTAAGCAAAGGCTGAGTGAATTACTTTCTGTCACTTCAGATAAGGCATAGTCATTTGTGCCCTTGCGAAATGCAGCCATTTGACATCTGTCCATTTGAAATTCCTGTCAAGAAGTTGGTAATAGAAGATATTTTGCGATAAATAAGTAATTCACTTCTTCCATCTTTTTACAAACCCGTTTAAGTGTTTTTTCATGCTTGTTTAAGTTTAGAGGTTCAGGTTATTGCCATTTTTGGATGTTTTCATTTTCATACTTGGCATTCTAATACAGTAAAATTCTTCTTGACTGAAATGTAATAAAAAATAACACGAAATCAATGTAATTAAAGCTAGTTGTATCAACATTTTTAAATCGGCCTTTTTCATTATTCATTTTTTAGAGGTAAATACATATTATACTACAAAAACAAGTCATTTCATCGTGTTGTATACAAAAATACTAGCCAGTTGTGAAATGAATCTGTTCAAGAAATGACTTCGAGTATCTATGTGAATTGATTGATAATTAAGACACAATAACACGCCGAATAAATACTAATTCAGAAGTCAAACAACAAAAATCAGCGTTATATTTAAAAAATTTTCACAGGACTAGTTTCGATGGTTTTACCGAACCATCATCTTCAGCTGCAAAACCGCAAATGAACAAGATAGGAAATAATGTTTAGATAAGATAAGAAAGCCTGGACAAGAATAAGCAAGTGGCGCCATCTGTTGGCGAAACCAGAACTAAAACATAATTTCTCTAAAAGCCGAAGGCAAATTTGGATTGGAATTAGGATCGTTAACTAGAACAGAAAGATTTTTATGAATGTGAAATGCCTCTAGAAAATCCAGTTCTCCAATGGAAGATGTTTTTTGAATAATTTTGGCAGCAAAAATTGAAAGTGTGATTTTCGGACCAACAATGCTGAGCAACAGAAGACTTCTGTGTTTCTTTTTTCTAACATATGCCTCATGTTGTTTGACGTGAAATTTTAAGGCTCTCTCTTAGTTTGGCCAATGTAAATTAAACCACACTGGCAAGGAATCCTATAAATACCCCCAGGAATTCATATCCGGAATGGGGTCCTTGAGTATAGAAGTTGGAATTTTATTGATGGGAGAGTAAACAACCCGAAAGTTAAATTTCTGCAAAATATGTGCAACTTTATAGCTAATTGATGGAAAGAAGGGAATGACAACAGAATTTTTATAATCTCCTAAAATAAGAGTGTGGCTTTTAGTGTGTTGAGATGAGAATTTTTTAACTGCTTGATTAATAATGTTGGGTGAAAATCCCCTGTCAATAGCTATAGCTTTTAAATAATTTAGTTCTTCATCAAGGGAGGATTCACTTTTTGGAGGAGCAAACTTGAAGAGCACGGAAAACATAGGAATAAAATGAAGCTAACTTTTGTTTAGTCGGATGACATGATTTAAAGTGTGGTGGAAGGCAAACCGATGAAGGTTTACGGTAAACTGTAGTACTGAAGTTGGATATGTTACGTGTGACCAGAATGTCGAGAAACGGAAGAGAATTGCAAGTCTCAAGTTCAAAAGTGAACTGAATAGCAGGATCAATAGAATTCATTGTTGAAAGAACTTTATTCAAATCATCTTTATTACCTTCAAACAGGGTAAAAGTATCGTCTACGTAGCGGAACCATGCCGGGAATTTTAAAGTTTCAAACAATTTTGATTCATAATAATGCATGTAGATATCAGCCAGGATGGGACTGAGGGGGCTTCCCATGGCTAATCCCTCAGTTTGCTTGTAATATTTATTTTGGAAAACAAAATGTGTTTGAAACAAACACATTTTGTTGAAATTATCTGACTAAATTAGTTCTGATCATTCCAGCAGTCAAAAATACATAAAACAAATATAAAATAGTGACAAAATTAACACTTTCTTTATGAACTCAATGCCACATAACTGACTTAAATGCGAATTTGAATGGCTTATGTGCTTCACTTTATTGTATATTTTATTATTTATATAGTCTTTTATTGTACTATTTTGATGAACTCCACAGTCTTTTAAGGTTTTGAGTGTGTGCATCAGTATAACCAGTCCTTCAGCCTGCCTTGTAGAACAACTGCTTGTTGTTCTACAAGAAAACAGGCTCCAAATTTTAATCTTACTTTACAAAATCTAACTTGCCTTAGTACATATCAGGTTTACATAAAAGAAAAGTTATTAATACTAAATTAAGCGTATCACTTGATTGGCAGTATTTACTTTAGTATAAATGTTTACTAACTTCTAAAATAAATGTAGTTTATTTATTTATTTATTTTTGTAATGAAAGAACTGTACTTTCTTTAAAAAAAAAAAATTAATGAGAGACTACCTTTTTTTAACTACTTATGCAGATTTATTTGAAAACAAGACTCAACTGCCTTTTGCTTAAAACAAATCTTAAGCCTCCGTTGGAAAATACTAAGACCGAGAAAGTTTCAAAACCAAAAGCCATAGACATTGTTGATGAAGAGGAGGAAAAGATATGGAATTCAATGTCTGTTGTGTCTGATGGTGTAAAAAAGAAAAGAGCAGCTGATGTGAATACCTGCATGTCTTCAAAAAGAAAAAAGGAAAGGTATGTTTTGCATTAAAAAGAATTAGCTATTAGTATGATCTTAAAATTACTAAAAGATTTATAAAAAGTCAGATATTCATCAGAGATTGATTTTGTAACTTAAGATACTTTTTTATTCAGAAATATTTAAATTACAATTTTTTGAAAGGCTTTAAATAATGTGGCACTTTTAAATATGAGAACATTATTGTGTAATTCATAATTTAATAATGTGAGCTGATGGTGAAATTCCCTATCAGATATAAATGGAAAAACAGAAGAATGGAGAATGCAGAAACAACGGCTATTTTGAAAAATTGGTATCACGCTAAGAATAGTGTAAAGTGTAGGATCTAAACGTAAAATGCCCGGTTCAAAATTTCCAATTAAAGGATATTTGATATAATACAATAATTGGTTGGAAAATATTTATTTCAATCCGTATATGTGTTGATGAATTTCAGTACGGAATTTTTGTAGGCATGACAAGCAACTTGATCTCATTGTGTAATGTTTAAACCATATTGAATTGATACTGTTAAACAGAGTACTTGTTTTATTAGTTTTTAAGTACTGAAATTTGTCTTCTTTTAATGCAAATGGTTTTTGATACAGCTTCATAAGGAAAAATTCCTGTAAAGTATAACAGTTGTAAAAGGGCTCTCCAAGATATCTGGTATCTCTGGAAATTGGATATCGCATACTTATGGAATTTTTCATTTATTGGATATGAATTCAGGGTTCATAGCCACATTTTAGTTAAAAAAATAAGCACCTATAAGCACTTTTCAAGCACATTTTAAAGAAAAAATAATCACATGTCTAATTACATTATACACAACTGCATAACCTTAAAAGAAAAATTAGACTTGTAATTTAAAATATGAGCAATGCAATATTTATTAAGAGAATGAGCATTACCTCAACAATGGAAAACAATTAACTTTTTTTTTTTTTTTTTTAAATTTTAAATGACAGTTCAATTTACAGAATTAGTTTACAATGAGAGGAAAAAAAACTATGCAGAACTAAACTATATTACAAAATTTAATGATGATATTTCAGTTGAAAATATAGAAAATAAATAATAATAAGCCATATTACTTGTATTCATTTGGCACCTAATAATAAATACAATTTATTTTTCCACTCACATTAATATTTAAATAATTTAACTTAAATCAAAATTCTGAACATTTTCTAAATTTTCATTGCATAACAGTTTTACATATATCCCAAGCAAAGTAATTTAAGTAAAAAAGAGGCACATTTCTGAAATCAGAAGACGGGAAATTGCTTCATTCAGTCATCCTTTAACAGTAAAAGCTTAACTAACCAGCATACTCGGAAATTCCGGAATTTTCCAGATAGTGACTGGAAAAAGAGATGTGGGGGAGATTGTAGCCGTTCTTTAGATTTAAATTTAGGGTAAATAAATGATTTTGACATTTCGATATGTGCATCATATAAAAACCAATGGAACTGAGAAATATTCTGCTTAGAAAGCACAGTAAAACTCTTTTAAGTGTTCATAAACAAATCTCAGACTGAACATCAAAATTAATTATCTCTGGCAAAATACCGCAAACGTTATTGCACGCAACGTTACGTGCGGTAATTCTTCCATACATGTGATATTACGCAATCGGAATCAACAGCTGCTGGTATTCCGGAGAATAGAAGAACTAAATAAAGGAAAAGAAAGAGACTTACTAATCTGGGGTGTTTCTGATTATAATTTTCAACAGACTGTATTAAATTTCTGGAATAGAATCAATCAATCTTCGTTTGAGTTGGGTAGACCGCAAAAACTTTTAGTCCTATTCAATCCAGATTGGACAGTGACGAAAAAAAAAAAAAAAAAAAAAAAAGTCCGCTGCTTCAATAATTAGAGATTTTGCGGAGAAAGGGAGAACTCCCAACCTCCGCACTGTATAATGTATTGGCAAAGAAAATGAAATTATTTTGACTATTTGATTACTTTCCTTTTATTTAAGCCATTCCGAATATTATTCCTTAGAAAGCTAATCTGTGTAAAAACACACCCATTTTTTTTGAAGTTTATCTATACTTCAGCAGTTACTGCAATTATATTATTATAAATATTCATACATATGCTCATAATATAAGCATAACGATCATAATAAACACGAATATGAACTGACCACGCGGAACGAGAATACAAATTTATTAAAATCTTGATAGAAATTCAAACGTGTGTAGTATTTGGGTGGGAGGAAAAGAATACCGAATGTACCGGAATTTTCTACGTTTTCGCAATTCTTTGGCCAATAGAATGACGTGCACCTTTCGCAATTCTTTGGCCAATAGAACGACGTGCACCTGTCTGTACTCTCGCGCGCACTATACAGTGGTGGCCAAAATTGTGGACACTTTTGGAAATTTTTATGTTTTTGAAATTTGTATGCTTATAGAAAATGTTACGTTTTGCAAAATGCAAACTTGTATATATCATTTTAAAGATAATTTTGTTATTAAATTCAATACAAAACACAAAATTCAATTATTTGCAATACAAAAAAAGTTATATGTACTTTAATATAAATAAAAAACACAGTTACCTATGCTGAAATTGCAAGACAGGTGGGTGGTTCAGTGATTACATCTGGAGTCCGAAAGTTTTGTTTACGATATCAGGAGACAAATTCAATAAAAAACAAAGAAGGAAAAGGCCGAAAAAGGTGCACCACATCTATTGATGACAGAAGTATAAAAAGGCTATGTCTCCAAGATAGAAAAATGTCATCAGCGGCCATCAGAAGTGATCTGAATGATGCTGGTGTTTCTGTCAGTTCAAGAACAATCAGGAGAAGATTAACAGATGTTGGACTGAGAGGTAGAATTCCACGAAAAAAGCCTTATCTTAATTTTCAGCAACAAAAAAAAAAAAAAAAGAAAAGAAAGAAAGAAAGAAATACAGTGGGCAAAGGAACACGTTAATTGGAAGATGATCAGTGGTCACAAGTTATATGGGAGTAATGAAACTAAGATATCGTTATTCGGTAGTGATGGGCGAAAATATGTAAAACGTAGAATAGGAGAAGAGCTACATCCTGACTGCATTCAAGCAACTGTGAAGAACCCAGTTAGTGTAATGATTTGGTCATGCACGTCAGCAGATGGTATTGGCCACCTTCATGTCATCAATGAGACACTGAATGCCAGAAAATACATTGATACTATTCTAGAACCAAAACTTCTACCTTCCATCAGAGATCTGTTTTCCAACAATGCTTCGTTTATTTTTCAGCAGGATTCTGCTCCTTGCCACACTGCTAAGATATTGAAAGAGTGGTTTCGTACAAAGAGCATTAAATTGCTGTCATGGCCAGGAAACAGTCCTGACCTCAATCCTATCAAACATTTGTGGCACCGTTTGAAAACTCTTGCCCGAATGAGGCGCCCATCAAGTAAAAGGGAACTAATTGAGGCTATAATTGTTTCCTGGCATCCTGTAATAACGATTGAAGAGCTTAAAACTTGTCAGCTCAATGAAACGTCGATGGGAAGCTGTAATAAAAAATAAAGGGTAACCACTAAGTACTGATAACTCACTGCAATCATCACTATCTAATGTATATCAATAACTATTATCGTTGAACTTTTTTTGCATTGCAAATAATTGAAATTCGTGTTTTGTATTGAATTCAGTAATAAATTCTCTTTAAAATTATATATAGAAGTTTGCATTTTGTGAAACGCAACATTTTCTATAAGCATACAAAGTTCAAAAACATAAAAATTTCCACAAGTGTCTACAATTTTGGCCGCCACTGTAGGTTACGTTAATGCAGAGGAAGGGGGGAAAGCAATTTTCGGGAGTATGATTCACCATCTGACATTGCATGTAAGGAATAAAAGTTGTTTAGTTTCGGCTTTGGTACGGGGGAAAAATGCGCGTTCATTAAAAACAAAGGATTAAAAAAAAAGCACTAAAAGTAAAAAATAAGCACTAAAAACAAAAAAATAAGGGCTTTAAAGAAAAAGTAAGCACCTATAAGGGCCTCTATATTTTATTTTCAAATATAAGGACTTATAAGCACTTGTAAGGACCGTTACAAACCCTGGAATTGTATGCTTTTTTAATAAAAGGTTCCATAATGCATTCTAGGAGAAGTCAATTCTATTTTATCTAGCTACAATACTTATGCAAGTTTATATTTTGTCAAATTGCTATTGATCCTACTTATTTTTAAGGCCTGGCCCATGCACTTTACCAGTTGTTGGTGCATGCATATATGGTATGGTATATTTAATTACAGCCAAGAAGTTATCTGCCTAAGGGGAGGGATGCCCTACTGGAGGACTTTCTAAGGAAATATGGCTCACATATACATGTTACACATGGGGAAAACCATGGAAACGCCCATGCAGCCAACCCCTTTGCTGGGATTCGGATCCCCAAACTGACTCCCAGTTCAACACCTTTACCACTCAGCTGCTAGCTGCATGCATGTTAGTAATATGGCAAAAAATATTTGAAAGGTTCCTTCTGCAACATCATAAGTCAGAAAAATATATAAATATTTTATATAGTGTAATTTAATCACTTCTGATACTATTCATCTGGACATGCTAGTATTAAAATTGAGATGTACACTGAATCACAGCTAATACAGTGTTCCTATTGTGCTCATTCAAAGAGCTATACAATGTCGCATAAAATTAATAAGTTATTAGTCATCTGTGATGGTATACCAACTCAGGTGCATTTTGACATTCTTAATATAGTTCCATTTAGTAAAGTGTACTGAATGCTTTATAAATGCCATTTAGGATTTAAATCTAGGGAGGATAGGAGCCAGTGAAAAATTTGGAGAGTCTCTAGAACAGAGTTCATTATTAAGCAGGGGAACCACTGCTGTAGATTGTTCACTGAGTCAGCGTTGTGACTCCCATACAAGCCACTGCACTTAGGAAGTATTGCAGATCAAATTGTTTACAATTAGGAAATTTGTATATTGCTGCAATCAAGAAAGACTCCTAACATAACATGTACTTCTGTTACATTTACTCTTAACAGAAGATGTGTACAGCTTTCCCCTTATTTCTAACAGAACTCTTAACATTAACAACTTTACATTTACCACTAACATAACAGATGTGCTTCTAACATGGCATGTCCCCCACCATGAAGGAGTTACCATCAACTCACACAACACCATCCTGGAGAATAAAAATTTTCTTAGCTTATAAATATATGTGTACTGCATGAAATAGTTGATGTGTCACATCTGTAGCACAGCCTAATGTGCGGGCCAGTGGTGCTCTGGCTCAAATGAAGCACATTATCTGAGATCAAGGTGATAACTGTAGTACCTGGTATAGTTGATGACTGTCAAACCTCCATGGAATGCAGTGTATTTTGATTCTCTGTTTAATGTTTGAACACTACTAGGATCTGTTTAATGTTTGAACACTACTAGAATGTTATTTTCATGCAGTGTTTTTCCTTTTGTTTGATTACCACCCTTTTCAAGTGTCAGCAATCTGTCTGGTATCAGCAATGAATGTTCCTTTGAAAAGACTAGTTGGTGTTTGATATATTCATAATATACTCTCACTTACATTGCCTAATATAATTGGAGAGCAGTCTCCATCACAGAGATAGACATCCTTAGAGTATGCCTCCTGTCAAATGTCTATGTTTCATGCATACAATTTTCGTTAGTCAATTTAAAGAATTTATGAATAAGGTCTATATCTTAAGTCATATATCTCTTATTTGACTGGTTCATTTCCATAATGCATGGATTAGCTTGAATCTTAAAGTTAATTTGTATACAGTATATTTTGGCTTTATAGTTTAACTTTAATGAACTGAAACTTAACTTCTGTCTTAAATGAAGAAAATCGTAATTTTGAAGGAAGTTAAGCAAAATTAAATGTTTCAGAAAATAATTTGAATTTATTTTTAAAAAGTGTCTTCAGATTGGTTTCAAAGGAATTTTAATTTCTCTTTTGACATTGCTTGTGAATGCCTATAATTATATTTATTTGATTATTCTGATTCAGGAGGGAAAAAAGAACAAATAAATAAGGAGACATGCTCTGTCTTTTAATCTTTTCCAAAATGTCGAAAAATTTGAAATGGAATTTCAATTTACTTTCATATGTAATTTTTGAAAAAATGTCTTAGTTAAACATAATTAAAACGATATAAATAGTATATCCCTGAGGAATCATAGGGGAAATGACATGGTAATAAACACATGTATTATTTCTGTGAGAGAAATTAGGGATGTAAAAATTTTGCAGTTCCTTCCTACATTGTTTTATCAAAAACTTCAAAAATTTCAATTTGTATGTTTCACTTTTATTGTCAAAAATGGATGAGAATTCTGCCTAATGTAATCTAATTTTTAATTTAAAACTAAATAGTGAAAGAAAGTTTTGTCTTTCAAAATGTGCAATTGATAAAAATAATTTTATTTCAGGGATATGCTGAGTAATGAAACTATGGTCTGCTGATAGAAGTTATATATCTGTCTGTAAATATTGTTAATTAAATTATTTTATTGAATACATTTTTTGTTGTTTTCTTCCTCTTTCAATGGAATGAAAGAAACTACATAATAGCAGTTTTATTGAAATTGAATTACAAGTAAATACTGGATGTAAGTTTGAAAGTAAACATAAGAGTTTACTGTGGCCAAAAACTTGAGACTATTTGCAGTTGAAGTTGAATCAGACAAGGTTTCTTTCCTAAGAAAAGTGATTGTTACATAGATCAGTAGTCTCAAACTGTTAGCGTATAGGCCGCAAATACATTTCAGCTATGTACACTGTCTAAAATTATCTTTATGTGCATGAAATCATGGATGTCTAAAAAATTTTGGACTATGGTTTTATGAAAATATAAAAAGAAAAGGAGGAAAAAAAAAATAAGAGCACTGCATATGATAGATAGCTGTAGTATGAAACAATAAAAATGGTATGATATGTTACAAAAAAGTTGAGGGGTAAAGAAAGTATAACCCAGGGAAAAAATTCAGGCCTTTATGAATTTAATATCGAATGTGCTCTCCTCTGACTTGTACACACATATTGCAAAATGTTTTCGTACTGGTAACAGCGTTGCTATCCACAGTTTTGGGAATAAGTTCCTCTTCTCCAGCAATGTGGTCTTCATACTGTGCAACTGCTTTTTTGCTCCATACGTCCATAGGTTAAGATCAGAAGATTTTACTGTCTCAGTCTCCTATTTCAAGGAATTCATCAGTGAATGTTGCTCGATGTGGATGAGCATTATCATCCATAAATAAAAAGTCAAATCCACACGCATCTCTGAAAAGTCTTTCATAAAGTTCTAAAACCTCATCTCAGTACTTCTGGTCGAGTGCAAATCCATTGTTGAAAATGTGTTATCACATATGTATGTCCATTGATTATTCTTCTTCTCATATCATCACATCCTTATTGCAATCACATTCCTTAATGTTCAGAAGAAAATTTTACATTCATGACAGTATCCAAATGTAAAGAAGTATAGAAACAGGCATTGAACTAAACCTTGACTTATCTGTAAAGATAACCTGCTACCATTGGTGTTTACTCCAGTTCTGATGCTGTTTCTATCAATTAAAATGATCCCTCTTGTCTTTTTGGTGTGAAGCCTTTTTTCATTAAGACTTCTGTATACATTTTGCTGTGACACAACAGTTTCAGTGACAGTTGTGAGCTCTGAACACAACTGTTGAGCAATAGATGTATTGTTTTTCCTGCTTCTAAATGGTTGATGATTTGCCACTTCACAGATTCCTTCAAATGGTACTTCAAAGCCATCAGTCTTTATTTCCAGAAATCAAATACTGTATTTCAGAAATTCACTCAGATATTTATTTTACACAAATTGCTCGATTGACTCTCAGATGGCTGTATGCATAAGGCCTTGAAATGCCTTGATTTGCATATCAGAAACCATTTGATCATTTTTGAATAAATAATGTTAATTAGGCTCGTTTTCACGCATTTCCTGCAAAAATGGATTACATTGATTGGAGATTTAAAGAAATATCATTATTTTTTTATATGTAAAAGTGAATTTGAATATCAGTGTAATTGTAATAAATACAATGCTTATAGTTTTAGAGATGTGGGCTCGGCTTAAGTGCATGATTGCTGTTAAAGGGAAAAGAGAATGAATGTGTTGGGTCTTTGTCTATGCTTATATGCCAGGCCACGTGATTGGGTGCCATCTCCCTGTTCTGGTGGTTTTGGATTTTTCTATTGAGTTGGTAATACTTTCCTTGAGATGGCTGGATGCACAACTGTGCCAGGGGCGTAGCCAGAGAGGGGCATCTGTCCACAGGTGCAGAATCCAAGGGGCGCCAAACTGATGTTACGACATTTTAGAATTAAATGTTTTCCATCCTTGGCAAGCAGTAGGGGACACGAAATCTTCAGTTGTCCCTGGGCGCTGAAAAACCTAGCTACGACTCTGAACTGTGCAGTTCATATTGTTACATAGATAAGAGGTGAACTAAGATATGTCTTATAAAACCTGTTTATTTGTGGTTTTAGATCTACCTTATATCAATACTTATCATTTGGAATTGTAGATAACTTTTGAATGGGGTTTTCATACAAAAATTTATTTGTCAAATTGAGGTTGTAAATAAAATTATAATAAGGATTATGATATTAAACTGCACAAGCTATATCTTTAACAGAGACAGACAGTTACAAACGGGCCTTCTCTGGGATTCGAATCCTTTGGTTATCACAGTTGGCTTCCCAAACCTTTATACCGTCTGAGCAGCAGTTTGGGGGGGGGAATATAAAGAAAGATATTTCTTTTGTCGTGTGTTACATATTTTTAGACTCATGGGAAAGGAAAATAATTATAGCTACATAGCAAAATTTTAAATTAAAGGTTTTAAATTTCGCTGAAATTAATGGTGTTAAACCTGGTATTAGTGTTCAGCCTATTTTGTTTCAGTACTAGAGTTAAAGAAAAAGACGTGCTGAGTCAGATAAATTCAGAGCAAAGAGCGTTTTGGAGACTGAAAATCAGAAAATTTCCAGAAATTGATAGTAAAGTGCTGAATTACGTAGCAGAGCAAAGCAAAAATGCCATAGCTGGGTCACCTGAAATGACGCAAAGAAATCGAGGGATAAAGCGAAAAATGCGCTATTACGAGCCCTAGCAATGTGAAGTGGGCAGAGGATGGATCAATCATTTCATGAGAAGAAATAGACTTAGTTTATAGGGAAGAATAATGCTTGTCAAATGGCTACCAGAGACTTATGAAGATAAATTGCTAGAATTTTACAGGTTCATGATCCAGCAAGGAAAAGATTACAATCTTGGACATTTAGGAAAAGCAAGTCAAACTCCTGTATTTTTGGCATGCCTAATAAGACTACAGTTAAACAAAAGGAAGCACCTTCTGTGTTAGTAGAAACTACAGGAGCTGAAAAGGTACATTGAACAGTAATATTAGCAGTGACTGCTGATGGTAAAAAATTGCAAACTTTTGTAGTTTTTAAATGGAACACTATGCCAAAGCTAAAACTTGCTTGTGGTATCATAGTTAAAGCACGTGAGAAAGGTTCTATGTCATCCGACTTAATGAAAGGCTAAAAATATATGTAATCTATTAAGTCTTGGATAGTTTCCACGGGTAGAAGAAGACATGAAAAAAAAAAAATGAATCGAAAAAACACTCCCCATGTTATTATTCCAGAAGGAATTCTGCAACTGTTGGACGGATCAGTGAATAAACCATTCAAAGACTATCTCTGAAATTTAATAACGAATGGGTATCAGCTGGGTTGCATAATTTTACTAGAACCGGAAAAGTCCATAGACCATCCATTGAATTGATTTTCTCATGGATTATGGGTGTATGGGCTTTTATTGATAAAGCAATAATAGTGAAGAGCTTCAAGAAGATGGGAATATCTGATGCTCTTGATTGTTCTGAAGAACTGCGAAGAAGGACGTAATGGTTACAAAGACAATGACGATGGTGACAACATACAAGCTGTAGCGATTCCGGAATACAGTTGAATTTAAGCCCTGTACTTGTGCTACCATATCCACAGATAATAGCGAATCTAAGAAACTAGCCACCTAAAATAATTATTATAAAAAATACATATATGTGCAACCCCATGGCTCAGTAAGCGTCACCTAGCGGCGAAAAAAAGATAATAGCCATCAGTCGATGTATGGGAGTCATGAACTAAGCACGCTGTTTCCCCAAGATGTTGTTCCTCGAGATTTACTTTGTAACTTAAATTTGTAATTATAATGCCCTTACTTGTAATATTTTATCTTAAATGTGTTTTGTTAATTAAAACTATTAAAAATTCCAAGTGAGTCTTTTGTTTATGGTAGCCAACATGCGGCTCGAATGATTTATCCAGTTGAGAAAAAAACCATGTTTGGTGTACGACTGCAGGACATCGACTTGTATTCTTTTCCAGGTTTTAGGTACTACTCTCACCAGTGAAGTCCTCACCCTAAGATTCTTTTGGAAATTGCATAAAGTCATGGTTTTATCTTCACCCAAAAATTATTTTGGACATTGCATGGTTTCATATTCACCCGAAGATAGCAGATAAGCTTTTAACTTAATAAGAAAGATATTTTCACTTAATAAGCATATAACTTAATAAAGAGATAACAGTATCACTTGAAACAATATAAAATTCTAACTATAACGTCATTAATACTTTAATAATATGGAATAAAATGTGTCTCTGAAAACGATTCAGAGGTGTTTGTTTAAACTGGTGTCGTCATCATGTTCCATGGACCCAATACGACTGAACCTAGTTACTGAAGAGTCAAGATATTGTCTGAAAAGTGATTCTAAACGTGGTTTGATCTAGAGAGAAGAAGGAACACTCAGCTTGCCTTCCTTTGTCCGTAAAATATCCCGTTTCCGTGACCACAGTTTAATGGTTTGGGGAGAATTCATGATAAATGGCCACACCGAGCTACGTCTCTTTCAAGGAGATTCTGTGATCGTTTGGAGGTATGTGGACGATATATCGTGTTTAGGGGTGTTGTTGGCCCACAGTTTTTGCTAATGGATGACAATACTCTGTCTCATCCAGCATATATAGTGTCAAAATATTTGCAAACAGAAGATATCACTCGAGTAGACTGGTCACCTTACTAACACGAGTTGAACATGATTAGCTTGTGTGGGATTCTTAGGGTGCCAAATTCCTCCCCGGACCATCGAGGAGCTAAAAAGTGAACTTTTAGAAGCGTGGCATGCAATTGCACAAGATATTACCATTTTGGTGAAGTCTACGAAATGAAAATGGGAGTATGCATATCTATTCGAGATGACCATGCATCATATTAAAGAACATTATTTTCCACTAGAGGTGACTTAATTTTTCCACTGTTTTCCAAATTTAATAAATTCGGTTTTAATTTCGGTATTTTACGAATAATCAACTACGAAACACTTTAATTTCTGTTAACTAATGCTTTTGTACAATTTTTATTAATAATTTTTAAGTTTCTTTAAGTTACGTTTTATTTCTGCCATTCTCCTTTAAT